ACAACTGAAAGATATTTTTTAAAAATATCCAGAATTTAGCACAGATAAATACTGGAAAATAGACTAAGAGGCTAACATATATTCAATAATAGTTCTAGAAAGAGATAATAGAAAGAAGATAATAGAAGATTAAAGGAGAAAGAGGTAATAGAAAGAGCTGATATGCAGCAAAATTAAGGATGTGAATTCTCTAATGAAAAGTAGAAACTACTAAATGTGAAAGACAAAGAAAAATCAGAAAGTGACCAGAGCTAAAGAGACAGAGTGTGTATAGCAGCACAGTAATGATCAGTCAGCTAACTTTTCAACAGCACAACAGATTCTAGCAGACACTGAATAGCTTCCAGTACTCAAAGAGCTGAGAAGTACAATCACCTCTCAGAGACGAGATGAAGTAAAGACTCTTGGAAACTAGATGCCACAAACTCTCTCTAGGGGCAAAGTGATCTAGTTCAATGCTATGGGGATCATTGGAGTGTAACTTGTGTGATGGGGAGGCATTAGAGACAGCTGTCCAGAGTTCAGATCCCACTTGCTAGATATGTGAATCATTCATGTCACTCATTGCCTTCTGTTTATTTCCCCCTTTATAAAGCAGAGAAAATCATGTGTACCCCAACAAGTTATTGATAGAATTAAATAAACTGTAACAGAAACATCCTATCCCATAGAAGTCTCCTTCCCTTCCTTCCTTCTCTCTCCCCTCTCTCCCTTCTTCCTTCTTTTCTTTCTTCCTTCCTTTACTGAACATGTGTACTTGGCTCATGAACTTATCAGTTAAGGCAGACAAAAACTCAAATCTCATGAGATATAGACAAGCAAAAAAATGGAGGGGAGAAAAAGTTAAAATACAGCTGAGCACTAGGAGGCTGAGATCTGAGGATTGCAGGTTTGAAGCCAGCCCAGACAGAAAAAATCCTCATGAGATTCTTATCTTCAAGTAACCACCAGAAGTGGAGCTGTGGCTTGAACTGGTAGAGCCCTAGCCTTGAGTAAAAGAACTAAGGGACAGTACCAGACCCTGAGTTCAAGCCCCATGACCACCACCAACAACAACAAAAAGTTACTGTAGAGAATTAGGAGGTCATAAGTACTGTAGTGAAAAAATAAAGCAGGGAAGGGCATAGAGTGTCCAAGAAACCTCAGAGAAGGGGCATAGATTAATTACCACCCTCAAGGGACCGAAGGAAGAGGAAGCCAGGAGGAAGGGCCCTAGACTAGAGAGATCAGCAAATCCAAGAAGTGGCAGGCAGCCTGCAGGGCTGGAGCAGAGAGGGTTGCGGGACAGAGGGACAGGGATGTCAGCTGCACCTTCTCCCGTGCGTGGGAACATGTCTAGTGAGGCCAGGACGTCTATCTGCTACTGCAACAGAGTGGCCTGACCCACTGAGGGCTATGTGCAGGCAGTCCTAGAGGACTCAAACCATTCAGTCCTTGAGTGAGACCATCTAGGACCCTGCATTGCTGGGCCCTCAGGCTGTAGCTACTTTCTTCCCCAAGTCTTGTCCAGCCCTGACATCTCATGATCTTCACCTGCAGCCCAAGGCTTCCATGCTGCATCTTAGCCTGCCTTAGCCACCTCTATCATGCTCACCACAGACAGTGGGGCGCCCCAGGCACCTGAAGCTCCACACTGCCTTGCAAATGCACCCCCAAGCTCCATTTTCCTCTGTCACCTTTCTCTCTCTCTTTCTAGGTTCCCTAGATCTTCTCTCTCAGGGTGATAGATGATCATGGTGACAGGTTTTATGAAAAGGGGAGGGAGGGAGGAAGGAAGGGAGAGAAGAAAAGGTGAGAAAGGGGGAAGAAATGTGGTAAAATGGGAGGAGAGCAAGACCACAGGCTGTGTGGGCTACAGAGGAAACAAGGCAGAGATGGGCTTCCAGGATGGGACTGGAGTGGGAATGCCTCTGGGTGGGAGGTCACCCCTGCAGGGAGCTGTGCCAAGGGTATCAGAGACTAGATGGCAAGAGCTAATGTTCTGTAGGGAGTTACAAATCATGACTGGAAGCCTGGTGTTCAGGGGTGTCACAGAGAAGATAGTGACCAGGCCGAGCCTGGGACCAGGCCTGCAGAATGACTGTAGCTTGGGCTGGAAGATGGCAGGGATGGGAAATGGACTCAGGATGCTCAGGCTTGAACCCCAGGCTGCAGCATGGCCTCCAGTGAGATACTGTTTCCTGCCTCACGGCATTGTTGTGAGGACCAGAAGTCCTCAATGTAGGTCAGTGAAGCAGAAAACCAGCACATTTATCTTCTATGGTTTTCATTTTGGGGAGAACCCCTCCAAGCACGGAGAGACCAGGGTCTCTCCAGGGACTGGTTATGGTATTTTTCTGTGTGTGCCTGGCAGCCTGATATTCTTGGTTCTACTGGCTTCCTTAATAAGTCTGCTCACTTCTAGACTTGCTAGGTCAAACTTGAATTAATATAGCCTGAACTAAATGTGTTGCTCTGGGTTGACATTTACCTTGTCTTGCTCACTGGTGAGGTAGACAGAGAAGAGACATGTAGCTGACTGAGGCAGGTTGTGTCCTGCGGCTGCTCAGCCCTCAAGTCCTTTGAGCATGCTTTTCCTTTGGTTTGTGATACTTACACACAGGAACTGGCCCATCCCAGGTCTAGCAGGAAGATGGTGGGCTCTGGAACCGGCTTTCTGGTGGGTCAAAAGGAAGGCTGTGCACTGGGGTGCTGGGTAGGGAGCAAGTGAGGAAATACTTTTTTAAAAATATGTTTTGTATTGTAAAAATACTGTATAGAGGAGTTACAGTTACATGAGCAAGGTAACATGGGAACATTTCCTATCAATCATTGTTGCCTCCCCTATCATCCCTTCCCTCCCACCTCCACAACTAAACCCCACCCCCCCACCCCTGGCCTAAATTGTAAAGTTTGTCTTTCAACATAGTATCTTGTACATCTCATTGTTGCAATGGGTCAACCTGTATCCCTAGTTAAGCATTTTGTTTTTTCCCTTCCCGTCCCCAAATTAAAGAAGTGTATATACAAGATGCAAGGCACCAACATCAAATACAGTAAGAACAGGGGTTATACTGTGGGGGAGGAACACACAAAGAAACAAAAAAAATCACATGATACATTATAAATACATTAGAAACAATAGCAAGAAAGAAAAAAACCACTTGTGTCCCTATCTTGCGGTTCATTTCACTTAACATCATCTTATCTGGTCATATGTACATAGCTTTTGACCTTTTCTGCTTGTCCCAGACATATACTAGCTATTGCAAATAAGGGAAACCATGCCATCTATGTTTCTTTGGGCCTGGCTTACTTCACTTAATATAATTTTTTCCAAGTCTGTCCATTTCTTAACAAATGGGGTGATGTCATTCTTTCTGATGGGGTATAGAATTCATATATATATATATATATGTATATATATCACAGTTTCTTGACTCATTCACCTACTGAGGGGCATTTGGATTGGTTCCATATTTAGCTATGGTAAATAATGCTGCAATAAACATACTTGTGCTGGTAGCTTTAGTATGATCTTGTTTGTGATCATTTGGGTAAATGCCCAAAAGTGGGATTGCTGGGTCATAGGGGAGCTCTGTGTGGAGTCTTTTGAGGAACCTCCATCTTGGTTTCCAAAGTGGTTGAACAAGTTTACACTCCACCAACAATGCAGTAGGGTTCCCTTCTGGCCACATCCCCTCCAGCATCTGTTGTTATTATTAGAGTTCTTGATTATAGCCAATCTAACTGGGGTGAGGTGGTATCTCAATGTTGTTTTGATTTACATCTCTTTTATGGCTGGAGTGGTTGAGCATCTCTTCATGTGTCTATTGGCCATTATTAAGAAAATACATCTTTTATCTGTAATGTTAGCCAAGACTGGAAACGATCCCAGCATCCCCGGTCTCTCCGCATTCCCAGCATTCTGCATGTCTAGTAGGTCCCGAGGCACTAAACCTTTAGTGATCACACACAAACAGATGCACAAACACACACATACACATAAACTCATGCTTCCGCAAGTGCAGGTACACAAACACACAAATGAGCTTTATTGGGAACATTCTCTTCAGCAAAGCAAAATACATCCTAGACATCTTGTAAATTGCAAGAGAGAAAGATCTTGAAAACTGTCTAGGACCTGGATGGTGGTAGCTCATGCCTGTAATCTTAGCTACTAAGAGATTGAGATCTGAGGATTGTGGTTCAAAGCTAGCCTGGGCAGGACAGTCTGTGAGGCTTGTCTCCAATTAAGCAGCAAATCTCTGGAAGAGGAGCTGTGGCTCAAGTAGTAGCGCACTAGTCTAACCTTGAACAGGAAAGCACAGAGACAGTGCCTAGGCCCTCAGTTCAAGCCCCAGGACAGGCATAAAAAAAAGATAGGGAACAAAGTGTTCTGACTTAATTGCTACTGAATTTGAGATCTGTGTGAACTGTGAAAAGAGAATTTTATTCAGGTTTGTAATTGTTCATGTTATTGTACACAGGACTTTTGTAGAGGGTTCTCCCAACCTCGCCTGCCATGAAATGTCTCTCCTTAAGGTTTTTAGAGATCTGACCTTGGTGTTTCGTTTGTTTTAGTTAGAAGGTTTCAGTACCTCCGTGTCATCACTTACTATATCCTAGCCTGTAGAAAACCCTTCTGTTTTGAGAGCCCTGCCACCCAGTCCCGCAAGCTCCTTGTAGGCAAGGACATAACTCTTTATTTTATAATCCTGTGCCCAAGTGCTTGACCCAGAGGCAGTGTCACCTGCTCATCTGCCGGTGACAGCATAATGACACTTAGTACCTTTGGCTTCACTCAAACATCAGACAAAAAGTGGACCCCAGGTCCCTTCCCCCTCCCTCCCTCCCTCCCGGGGGTGGTGTGTCATGTCTGGCCCTTCTTCAGCCTTCAGCTGAGCGTAGGCGGGCGAGGCTTCTAAGCCATCCCACAGCTGCTCTGTAGGACATTTGTTTATAAGTCTCATGCAAAAACAGCTTGCAAAAAAATAGTTCCCTATGCTTTCTGATTTCAGCTTTTCCGATGCCTTTATGGACAGAAAATACAGAATCCTTCCTGTTTCTGACAGAATTTCTGCAGTGAAGCTTAAGTTTTTGAAGCTTTCCGTAGTCAGGTACTGACCACTTGAGTAGACATAATTGGGGGTAACGTCGTTCTCCCTTACCTCTCGCTGCATCCCAGCAAGGTAGGGGCCACACCAGATGAACGGGACAGCAAAAATGCAATGAAAACTGGCCTGAGAGTGGTAGCACATGCCTGTAATCTCAGCTACTCCGAAAGCAGAGGTTGGAAGGATTATGGTTAGGAGCCAGTCTGGATCAAAAGTTGGCAAGACCCTAGTTCAATAAACAAGCCAAGCCTGGTGGTATAATCCTAGCTACTTAGGAGGAATAGGTAGAAGAGAGACACAAGAGCCTATCTGAAAAAAATAACAAAAAAAAAGTCTGGAGGCATGGCTCAGGTGGTAGAGGGCTTGCCTAGCCCTAAATTCAACACACCACCAAAAAGGTAATGAAAATCATCTTTGATTCGCCCTTACTGTCTGGACAGAAATGAGGTACAGGGAGAATAGAAACACTTGACATGAATCCCTGTCTAGCCATTTGCCTGCTGTGTAACTTTGGACAAAATAATTACCCTCTCTCAGCCTCAGTTTCCTCATCTCTTAGATGGAGAAAATAATGCCCAGTACCTGGGATCATTACCAGAGCTGGAGGTATTTTTTTTTTTGGTAGATAGAAGTTCAATCACAGCTATACTAAATCTTACATGCCACATGAGCCTATATGCATATATGGAGAAGGACGGACAGACAGAGAAGATATTCTGGAAAGAAAACATTAACTTATTAACCTTGGCTAAAGTAATGCTTCCCTGTATGCCCAATGGTGATTTTTTTCCCTCCCTTTTCTGCTTTTTTTGTATATCTTTAAATATTTTTTCCACGAACACATATTGACTTTATAATGAGGAAAATAGAAAATAAGCTTTAAAGAATAAAATAGGAAAAAGAAATGATAAGCTCTAAGAGGCAAGCGTAAGTTGGCACTCCGTAAATGGGAGCTATTTTTACTAATTAGTCATTATGCCTAATAATAATAATTAGGAATAATGATTTCCTCGGGGACCAGAGGTTGTGAATTAGTGTCTTGGTGGTGGCTCATGACTCATAACTCTTGCTCAGAGGGAGGAAGGGAGTCTGGGTCCTCTTCCAACCAGGCCTCTAACTCATTGGGCCTCTGTCCCTCCCTCCCTCTGCAAACCCCTGAGCCCCAGCTCAGCAAGGCCCCTGCCTCTGCCTCCTCTCCACCCACATTCAAAGGAGCTACAAGCAGAGCTCCCAGTGCCCTCAACCATGGGGATTTCACCTTTGGCAGGCAGAGGCTTCCTCCACCCTGGGGCGTAGCATGGGCCATGGCAGGATGTTACCATTTGTCCAGGGGACACTAGGAAGAAAGCCGAGAGTCACATTCCCACTTCTATCTGGGTGACAGAGAGGACACCCCTCACATCCAAAATGAACTTCGTGCTATTGATTGGAAGATCATGAAAGTCCAGCATGAGTCTATCTTTAGCCATGCATAAGGTGATGATAAGTCAGAATTTAGCCAAAGCAATTGTTTAAGACTAAACTCTGACACATTACACTATAATAGGCTCAACCAGATCGAATTAAAATTGTAACACACACACATACACACAGAGTGTCAATACTGAGGCTCGAACTCAGGTCCTGGGTGCTCCTCCTTAGCTTTTTCACTCAAGGCTAGCACACTCTACCACTTGAGCCACACCTTACTCTAGCTTTTTGCTAGTCAATTGGAAATGAGAGCCTCATATACTTTTCTGCCTAGGCTTTGAATTGCAATCCTCAGAGCTCAGCCTCCTGAGTAGGATTATAGGTATGAGCTACCAGTGCCTAGCTGAGAAAAAATTCTTAATGAGCTGTGCGACTTAGACAAGGCAGTTAACTTCTCTGAACCTGTGTCTTTCAGTGTGACACAAGGGATGAGCCCAGCTGGCCCCTGGGGTCTCTAGATGGTCTCAGTTTCATGACATGGTGATTATAAATGTAGTCAGTTCTGGGAAGAGAGCGGACTTGAATGTTTCACGTGCTCAGTGGGCACGCTGCCAGAATGGGTCTGCCAGGCAGGGAAGACAGGGATTCGTTCCGGGGCTGACTCTGACCTCTGTGGCTCCATGGATGACAAAATGATGGAAGGGCTGCAGCCTGAGGCCTCTAGAGCCAGGGAAGCAGGTCCCCACGACCCCTGCCCAGCCGCACCAACAGCGAGCCCCAAGCACAGCCCTGAAGATCTGAGAGCGGCAGCAAAGGAAATCAGACGCTGAAGCACACACATCACAGCATTCGGCTTAACATGAGGTCCCTGGAGACAGAAAGTAGACTGGAGGGTGCAGGGGTGTCGGGGAGGGGCCGTGGGGAGCTGTTGCTTCATGGGGAGTGGAGTTGCAGTTTGGGCAGGTGGGAAAGTTCTGGGTAGCGGTGGACGGTGCTGATGACTGCGCATGATGCCCCCAGCAGTTGTGATCTCACTGAGGCCAGGCAGACAGCTGCTCTGGTGCCAAAATACGATCATAGGAAGGCAGGCAGACTGCCCAAGAGACAGTCACTCCTTGTGGGACAGAGCCTCGTCCTAGCCCTATGAGGAAGGAGGGAAGACGGCATCCTGAAGCTTCCTGCATGGAGGGTCTCTGCCCCCCAGCCCCGGCCTTCCCCCCCCCCCCCCCGCTGCCAGCCTGGGGCCAGTGTGCCTGCCCGCTCCTGCTTGGCTCTGCCTTCTGGCCCTCTCCCTATCTCATGCCCAGGCACGCTCTGCGCATCTCATAGGGCATCACAGCCGTGCTTTCTTATCTCAGGCCGGAATTGAGTCGAATCCAGCAAAGCTGTGTTTGGATCTCGGGGATCATTGGTATGTGCTCTAGCATAGCGTATCCTAGTCAAATTCTCAGTAGCTAACCAAAGGCGATTAACGCGGGCTGAGAAATTGCAGGTTATCATTCGACCACAGCCACCATCCATATGCATGAAGCCTAAGGACCAAGCTCCTTTACAGAATCAGAAAAAGCCTTTAGAGGGATGGGTTTCAAAGAAAGCTCTGTCCCCTCCCCACTCAAAGCCATCCCTCCTCCAACTCCCCAGACCCCCCCCCCCACCCCCGCCCCTACGCCCAACCCTGGAAGCCAGTCAGTGTTGTCCTGGGTCTGCTGCTGCTGGGCTTTCCCCATGCCATCTAGACTCTCAGAGAGCTTGATGGGCTTCTGTCACTTAAGAAATTGGTCACATTTAGAAATATTCAGCTTCGGCGAACATGTCATGGCAGTGTATAGGAAAAAAAACAACAACACCACATCCCATTATCTCCAGAGTTTGCCTGAAACAACAGGCTTGTTCCTGAAACAGATGTTTTGTGAAGCCCACCGTGACAGGCTTATCATCTCAGGCTGGAGATGGGCCAGCACGCAGACACCAGCCCCACCAGGTGCTGGCTGCCCGTTCATCCTGCACAGCTGGCCCACAGGAGACGCTTCCCGTGGCTCCTCCTTCTGCTGATCAGAATCTGAAGTTAAACAGTTTACAAGTCTGAGGCTGGAGACAGTGGCAGGCAGCCAGGTGCTCCTGGGAGAGACTTTTCAAGGAAGCTGCTCGCAATGTCTTGGTCTACTGTCCCCCAGACTCCCTTCTAGTTCTTTCTACTTGCTATCTCAGAGCGATGCCCTAAGGTCACCTAGCTCAAGGATGGGGAAACTGAGACCTTGTATTTGTTTCTTAGGACTGCTGTAACAAATCACCACAAAAGGGTGCCTTAAACCATAGAAAAACACATTTCGCTCAAGACTCGGGGCCAGAGTAGGAAATGGAGTTACTGGCAAGGCCCCACTCTTCCTAATGCTGCGGGGCGGGGTCCTCCCTGGTCTTTCTCACAGCTTTTGTTCCTTGGTTATCAGCCAGACCCTATCTCTGTCATCACACAGTCTTTTCCTTTAGCGATGTCAGTCAAATCTTCCTCTGCTCTTCTCATGTACAAGGACATCTGTCATTGGATTTAGGGCCCTCTCTAAATCCAGGATGATCTCCAGATCCTTCACTTGATTACATCTGCACAGGCACTTTTGAAATAAGGGTACATTCACAGGTCTTGGGTGTGGGGGGGCGGATTAGGAGGTGGACATGCCTAGGGGTGAGGGGGTCTACTTAGGCTACGACAGTCCTCTAGCTATTAGCTAGTTGTTTTCCCAAGGTCATTTCCCCAAGGTCAAATAGTGAAGGGACAGAGTACTGGTGGAGAGCGGAATGCAGGCTAGCTGGCAAGGAGCTGACATTCTCCACGAAGCCTCAGATGCCCACGCGTCAGATGCTGTGAGACAGTGACCGTACTGTCATAGAGCTGAGACACAAGCAGGACGTGAGGGGTTCTGCTCGTGAGAAACTCACAGCTGGGTGGAAAGAAGCTTTTGCATATTGTTTGTGAGCCTGAGCCCTTAAGTCAAGCTGACCTGGGTTCATAATCTGCCTTTGCCATTTCTAAACTAGATAACCTTGGGCCAGTTATGTCACCCCTGCTCTCATAGAGAAAGTGTCTCGCCTAGAAATTGGAAATGATATTAACAATAATAAGAGCTGGGTGCTGGTGGCTCACACCTAGCTGTAGCTCCTAGCTACAGAAAGCTGAGATCTAAGGATTGCAGTTCAAAGCCAGCCCAGGCAGGAAAGTCCATGAGACTCTTATCTCCAGTTAACCACCAGAAAACTGGAAGTGGAGCTGTGGCTCAAAGTGGTAGAGCACTAGTCTTGAGCAAAAAGCTCAGGGACATAGCCCAGGCCCTGAGTTCAAGTCCAGTGACAGACCGGAAAAAAAAAAAAAGACTATGAATAACCTCATAGGATGGGGGGAAGGATTAAATGAGAAAATGTGTTTAGAGTACAAGTGAGAGCCCGGGCAGCCTGACCCCTTGTCTTTTGTGGTTAACCTCCACCTCACAATCTTTCCACCTGCTGGACCTCCCTGGAGGACCCCTATTGGAGCCTGTGAGTGGAGGAGGCTCTTTGGGCTGTTTCTCAGAGGTGGGGATGAGGAAGAAGACGGCTCCAGA